AATGCTAATATACATTAATGGGAATGATTGCTCGCTATAGCGGAGCAGTTGATTTTTGATCTTATTTTCTAAATAAATGATTGAACTGCCAGATGACAAAACTCAACCACTCACTACCTTGTGTATTTTTTCCGTGAGCGAATCCTGGTTCATAATAAGACTATTGATCCTTTATCATCTAAGGAAGAAAACTATGCATGTAGGTTTTAAAGCTCAAGGCACTTTTTATCTCATATCAATAAAGTTTGCAATCATTATATTGCAGGGATAAAGCAGAGAGTAAGACACAAACAAGAAATGCTAACATTTAGATCCAAGGAATTTAGTTTCATTATTTCTGTTTGATACAGAAACAGAGGAAACAGAGGCATAGACTTAAAGAAACTTGCACAAATATCGAGGCAGTGACTTAGTAGGAAACAGAATTCAGGTCTGCAAGTCAGCAGGGGAAGTTCTCAGACAGGCTGCCACTTCCATCCCCACTATAATAAACATATCATGGCATTGATTTTGGGAAAACAATGCTTGGACAAAAGGAAAAGTACAAGCAGCCTATCTGTCTAGCCTCTCACTGTTACAAAGTGGACTGGACAGAGTAGCAGGACTGCAGCAACTTCATTTCCTTCAATCTGAGCTGCTGCTGGAGATGATTTTAAACTTTCGTCGTCTACAGCATGCTGTCTCAGGGTGCGTTCCTCCCTCTTATCTCTTCTTTTCTTTCTCCTTTTCCATCTAGTGCCTGAAAAGTGTCCTGAGGGTTTGACAGTTTTTATTTAATCATTTCATCCTTCTGTATGGACAACTGCTGAGCACCATACAGTGAAGTTACTACCAGCCTAGAATTTCTGAATATCTGCCTGCCCTCTTATCTGCTTTGGTGCCAGCCTCTTGATATCTAGCTCCCCCCATTCAGTGTCTGTGATGCAGTAACAAATAAAAGTTCTAAATAACAACCTTTGCTGTGGAAAAATAAAGGCTGCATTTGCCAACACACAAAAAAAGCCTATCTGCAGAGAAAGATCATTTCCAAAGGTTTTCTTCTAGCTCCTAGTGTACTAGGAGTATAGTTATTAAATCCAGCATTAGTCCTTCTCCCTCTCCATAGTCTAACAAACACCCATTTTATTTAGCCTTGGAGGACACAATTCAATTCCCAGCTTGCTGCATTTCTCAACCTACAATCTTTTATGGGACTCTACAAAAGGTTAGCTATACTTTGTCTTTCACAAACCCAGACTCTTTAAATAAATAAATAAAACCACTAATGTCTGGTTAAATGTTCAGATGTGATGAAATTTCCAGCTACTATTCCTACAAAACAAAGCAGGGACAAGGCACTGGATGAGGTATAATTTTGAACAATAACTACTGCCACTCATCAGTTCTGTCAGTTTGTTCCCTACCAGGGTTCTGTGAGTGATTTATTTTTTCCATTAGAGATCTGAACCCTATCAATTCTATGAATTATTCAGAATGAGCCTAAAGTTCATTTTGGGAATCCTGGATGAATAAAAACATTTCCATAACTTTTTTTTTTTTTTTAATCTCATCAAGCACTCAAGTTCTGGCAGTGTGAAAGGGGAATTAAAGAAACACAGGGCAATGCAGAGCATAAGCACAGACTGTGTGTATGCCCCATCAGTGCTGCCCCAACTGAAGCTAAGTGAACTTCATTTCTTCCACCGACTGCCCAAGGGTGCAAGTACACACACACACGTTACTACAGAGAAGATGACACCCTGTAATGCTACTCCCTCCATGGGCCTGTGACAACTCTTCTGTTCAGTCATATACCACATACCTCTCAAAAATGACAGTGGCTTTTTGAGAATTTTCCCCTCTGTTAAGACAGGGGGAACCCAATATATTTAGACAAAAATATAGCAGGAATAGACACTAAAAGCTGGGTGTAAAAATCTATTTGCAATCTAACACACAGACTTTGGTTCTTCTGACACTAGATCTTGCACAAGATTCTTTGATCAGAGAGCAACTGTTGGATGATGATGCTGAGGAGCCACCTATCTCCTCATATTGTAGTCAAGGCCATCCTATGATTGAAAGCTTCAGGCCCTGCAGGACCAATATGTCTCTGGCAGAAGAGTAAGAAAACATAACTTTTAGACTAAAAAAGCAGAATTACACAGTAAGTGGTATTCAAACAGCCACCAATTGTGTTATGGCCACAGAGGTAATTTAAAGTTAATCACTGATTAACTGATCAGTAAGGCTAACTACAATCTTACCACATCTTCAGTGGGAAAGAATCACATCCTTCAACCACTAGAATACCAAAACCTTTTCTGTGCATTTCATATATCAGCTGTAAATACTTCCAATATTCCTCTAAAGTATGGTTGGTAGCAATCACCCTTCAAAGTTTTAGGAACTGTGCTGTCTCTTTCCAGGCTCAGACTGCCAGTCAGCACATTAGAGATCATTGTTGTCAGTCATTTCCAAACATGTTGGGAATCTGCAATTAGAAACATTAACAATGGGATTTCACAGATGTAGGTTACAGGCTTTCAGAAAAGAAAAGGCAGTTGCTGGCAGTGAGGAAATATTTAACCACTTATCCCCTAATTAAACAAGGTACTGTACTCTAAGTACTGAATGCTAAGCAATGCTCTAACACGTGCTTATCTTAACCCTACAAAATTATGCTGAAATACTAAGGCTCCATCTGAGCACTTCTTAGCCAAGACACCCTGCCTAAACAGATGGAGCAGTTCTGCTGTTTCCATGCTGATACATTCAGACTGTAAAAGTAGAAGATTAAGTTCAAATTTATCATAAAATCACTTCAGATAGGATGTTGCAATCTTTATATCCTTCTTAAGTGTGACAAATAGAAAGACAAGACTGTTATGTTTAAAATAGGCAAACAACAGCTGAAATGATTGCTAAAAACCATCTATTTAACAGTTACGGAATGCTGGTTGAGGTCAGAGTAGGACAGCCAGTCCCAAAGACCTGCATGTTGTCTTGAAGTAGGGAATGATCTTCATTACATGGATTTCCCGGGACACATTAACACATCTAACTCCCAAAGGCACTGCAGACACCAAGGATCAACATACTGTAAAAAGCAAACTTCCAGTTATGAGCTGAATATCAAAATCCATAAATAAGTGATGAATGCAGGTAGAGATGATGTTATGAGATTACTCTGAGTAGCCACCTATGAGGGAAGACCAGAAAGTAGCAGAATATACCAGATCTAGACTGGTTTTCTCTCTCCAGAACAACTCAAAGTGGTTGTAACAGAACCCAGGAGTGGGACCAAATTAGATTTGACTTCATCTGGTAATAACTTTCAACACTACATATTAATGAATATTGCTGGAACTTTCTGAGGAGAGACTACCCAGACCCTGAAAAGGGCATAAAGAGAAAAGGTCACTGATAAAGCTGTGCTGTAGTCAGTGCAAATACACATCTTAATTTCTACTCAGGGAGGCTATCTCCTGTTGAAGACATGGAAAGGCTGCTTCTCTAAGTAAACCAGAATAAAAACTCCAGAATATGATTCTCAGAGAATCAGATCTTTGCAGAGAAACCAACCCCATGGACTCTAGATCTCCAGTCAGGGATGTTTCAAACTCCGCAGTTTCATTGATTGAGAAGTCAACTGGAGAATGAGAAACCCCATTTTGAAACTGCTCCTAAGCGCTAAAATGTGAAGTGAAAATAAAATCATTTTCACATTCTTATGAGTGCACTAGAAGGAAAATGTCCTGCTGGTTTGAGACAAAGGACAGCCAAATGCCCAGCTCCTCCAAGTGTACTTTTTCTATTCTGAATTCAACAGTGCATGGTCCTGAATCCACAGCTCCAAGTAAGACAGTCTCTCAAGTACGACTTTGTTAAAATTGAACTTTGTGAAGATATGGCGTATTTAAATAAAATTAAATTCCCTCTAAGTGTTCTGATCAGCTTTCTGCACAGTTACACATTCTGATACTTTTCCCCTGCTGGCAATCTATATTCACATCTTGTGCTGCTTAAAGTGCAGATCAAAACCTTTCCTCAGCCACAGACTTTGAGAAGTTTGTTCAACCTTTCCCCTAAAGCTAAGTTGTTTTAATGGAAGACTTAAGTTATATTAAGCCATTGTTGGAAATATAATGAAAATGCTGGAAGCTGAAAGCCTAAATACCAAAATAGGACAATAGATCAGTTATTCTCATCATGGCTGCTTTATACTTCCTTGAAATTATAGGTTTGTAAGGGTACCAGGCTTAATTGTGTAGTAAGTCACTGCCTTGCCTGCCTCTTACTAAATGCCATGACACAGAAATGAAGGCTATCTCACATTTCTTTTTGCTACTCTCATGGGTGTGAAGTAAACATTTCAATCAATTTGTGAAGCACTTTTCCCCATATTATGAGGTTAGTATTACACTGAAATTCCAAAGTGGAAAAGAATGGATGCAGCATTCACTGGGAAGAGTGGAACAAAAATCAGCAGTGCAAACAGACAGAGGGTAAATATGGATTGTTACCTGCATGCACACATTTATGTAATATAACACATAGTAGTATCAGATAAGCAGACCTATGTGAAAATTTAATTTCCACAGCATGGAATTCTTTCCCATGTCCCTAGACTTGCAGGGAACATGAAAGTTCTGTAAATTCTAAATTACATATTCAGAAGTATGACTTTTCCATTTTCAGTTATTGCCAAACTTGTTATCTGGCATAATGTTCACCAGAAGAACCAGACAATTTTGATAATCAGGCTCTTTTATACAAATTATTTCTTTATGAATATTTGGTATTTACAACTGAGGATGTAAAGTATCTTTCAAAACACGGAAAATTAATATTTTATTAAGTTAAACTAAGTGCTAAAGTGTTACAACAATGCCTGGATGGAATTTTGATCTCTCTGCTAGCAGATTGAAACTGCTTACAGTCCTCAATGACACACATCAATGTAAATATCTAACAGTATCTTCTTGGCATTTTCTTCTAGTCCTTTTTATTAATCTTACCTTTAATGCACCACGTTTTTCATTTGCTCCAACAATCAAAACTTCTGCCATGTCCTCTGCATGCTCAGACCGTGCGTGGACAAACAAGGCTCTGCCAGCTTCTGATACATTCTTTAGTGCAACTAGAGACCCATCATGTTCCACCTTAAAGTCTGGGTTAGAAACTTCGAAGTTCAATTTGTTATTCCCCTCGCAGTCATCAAACACCACTGCGGAAGGAAAAAAAAAAAAAAAAAGAAAGAAAAAAAAGAAAAACCACAAGTTTAAGTATCCACTTTGGAACACAGACTTCAAACATTTTTATGTTACTGGCTTGTCTACCAGGAAGAAATGGCTCCAATCTATGGGAAAACTTTTAAAGCTTTATATTTGTATGGTTATTATTTCAGAGACAACATTATGAATATGCAATTGCAGAAGGATAAGCAGATTTACTAGGTTAATTGGGGAAGGAAGAGAGAAACTAGACATTTTGGACATAAGTATATCTGATCACTTAAAAGTACAAAATGCACACCTAATTCTACAAATCAGGTGGCAGCAGCAGAGGCCTTGCTATTCTCCTCAATGTAACAAGGGAGCTTTAAAGGCTCTTCTACTGCCAAAGTGGTTTCAGATAACCCAAATTTTTTTTCTTTATTTTTGGGATTGGTTGTTTACAGAATATCCAACTTCATATTCTACTGCAAAAGTGTTACATAGTGGAAAAATCAACCTACAACATTTCTTATTAACTACTGGGATCATGACATAGTAAACAAGCTGCACTACTAAGCTAAGGAGAACTCTCAATTAAACAACAGCTGTCAAAAGCCCTGTTTTACTTTACATAGAATATTTAAAGTATTTATGAAGGTTGACATAGAGAGAAAAACATCCCTGAAGATAAAAATCTGAGGTTTTGCCTCTAGTTCCTTCTCTGAGTCCAGCAGATTCACTTTGCACAAAATACTGGAATAAACATTGCTATAACTACTAGCCATATGATTAAGAGGTGTTCACCAAAAACTTTTAATTGCTAAGTAAACTTTTCCTGGTTTGACATCTCTGAAAGATATATTTGCATGTGTGGTGATTTTTTTTTTTCCCCAGACAATCTGTTCTATATTTCATACCTGTTCCTTAAGTTACTGCTGCTACAGTCTTTTCGCTTATCTGTATGCTCTTGCTATTTTAATTTTACATTTCATTTCTATTGGATCTTTAAAAACTGCATTACAGACAGGGATAGAGACTATAGAAGATCAAAGACAATATGGTTTTACTGAAAATAAAGCACTTTTTATAATTGTTTAAATTCATTGTATAAATTATCTTGTTGTATTTGATAATTATTTTTAAAGAAAAAAAAAAATCCTATATTCTCTCATGACCTCACCAAAACCTAGGCTATTCCAGACTGTGTAATTGCTATAAGTGATTTAAAACGCAAACTGAATCTCACAAGGGATGGCCACAAAGCACTCTTTGGAACAATTTCACACCAAAAAATAATCCTCTTCACTCACACCTCTGCAAGTCAAATCAAATTTTGCATCCATTTCCAGACAGGCCAACTTGAAACCAGAGCCGCCAGAGAAACTTGTGGAGAACTTCCCTGTGTGGGCATTCACTGGGACTGAATTCCAGAGTAGAACCACCACAGGGGAAAAGGAACTGCTGCTGGTTGCAGAATTTGAATGCAGCTGTGTTTTATGATGAATATCGATGAGAAAGGTTAAAAAAAAGAAAGCCCCAAAATTCAAAATAAGGTGTAGAATGTAAGATTTGTGACATTGTTTTACAATCAAGTGGAGTGTTGACATTGGCCAGCTGTAAGACACACAGACAGCTGCTCTCTCACTCCCCTCCTCAACTGGATAGGGAGAAAATAAGATGAAAAAGCCCATGGGTCAAGATAAAGCCACGAAGATCATTTAGCAATTGCCATCACAAGCCAAACAGACTCAACTTGATGAAAAACAGTTTAATTTATGGTTGATTAAAATAGATTTAGATGGTAAAAAGCAAAGATGAAATTAAATCCTCACTTTCTCCACCCCTTTTTCCTGAGGCTCAGCCCACCCCTTCACTCCCAGCTCCTCCCCTCCCCTCAGCAGCACAAAGGGCTGGGGCTGTGGTCTGTACCTAACAGTTTGTCTGCCCTTGTCTTCGTCCTTGTGTTTTCCCCTGCTCCAGCACTGGCTCTCCATGGCCCGCAGCTTCCTTCAGGACTCAGCCACCTGCTCCACTGCGGTTTCCCCATGGGCTGCAGGGGAATACCTGCTCAGAGCGCCTCCTTCTTTATCTCCTCCTTTGCCCTAGGGGTTCACATTGCTTTTTCTCACACTTTTTTTCCCTCATCCCTCACTGCCAGGCAGGATTTTTTGCTCTTTCTTAAATACACTGTCGCTGAGGTGCCACTGGTGTCGCTGAGGGACTCAGGCGCGCTGAGGGGGGGCTGCCACAGAACTTTCTGGAAATGGCTGGAGGTGGCTGAGGCCTGCCTCCGGCAGCGCAGGTCTCACCTCACTGAGAGGCCTCTGCAGCCCCTGGACATGGGCACCCTGTACTCTGACAAAGAAATTCAGAGCCTGAAGTGCAATTTTTAAAAGAACATTATGTTGTGAACCTGTAAATTCAAGCCTGACTACCCTTTTACTGTGAAGTATCCAAACCTTAGTGTCACCAAGCGTCTTTTAGAAAAACGATCCCAATACCTGAAGGATCTGGTCTTCACAAGGTTTGGGCTTGCTTACGTATTTTTAATGAAAGCTTGCTCCCATTTCCTCAGATTTACTTGAGGGCAACAGTACTATCCTTGGATTCACAGTGGGATATCAAACCAGAATTTCATCAGCCCATTTGCCATTTCATTGAATTTTGCTGAAAGCAAGAGAGATTATAAATAAAAAAAGAAACAAAAAGCTCTTTTTCCCCTCAGATACTGTAGTCCCTCCAGACAAATCTATCTCAGTCTGTCACGTCGCAGACCTCGGCTTGCAAAGTCTTATGTTGCAGTAAAAGCTGGGGGCAGGCAGGGTGTGAACCGCAGAATTTCGGAGCAGCAGCACTTTGAAACAATTTCCCAGTGCTCAGACCGGGCTGGCATCTGTGCTGCCCAAAGAGCCACAGCTGCTCTCTGAAGCCAGGAACCACTTGCAGAAAGGGTCCTGTGATCACAGAAGGATTTTGATAGAAGGTTCTCTATTGGTAAGGCCTCCCTGGAGTAAAACTGCTGATTGCAATTGATGATGGTGACATGACAGGCGTTTTAACAGATTCTCTGCAATCTCCTAAAGCTATCAACCCACAAAGAGACAAAGTTTCCCTGTCACCACAAATATGGGAAATTGAAATTTTCTATACTAATCACTGTATAGATTACAGCCTTGATAAATTATGAGTGGATTATCTTTTAACTTATTCTTCTCCTCCCATTAAAAAACAATCAAACATGGCTTTGTGAAGCTACCTTGTTTTACTGAATAAATATGTACTTCTCATAAGCCAAAGCTGCTAGTGCTTATAAATATATATATATATTAATTTTTATTAATAGTTTACAACTGGGAAAAAATGGGCATCTGTGACAAATTCATAGCAGGAGTAAAAAGTCTCTTACTAAAACTTAAATAAAAGAAAAGCCTAACGAATGTAGCAGAGTAATCACTGGAAAAAAAAAAAAAAATCAGAGTTCAGCTCTATAATATCACCCAGCCAAACACCACGTTCAGAAGGAAGCCATGCTGTCTTATATTTCTAAAAGAGGGGTGAAGTTGGCTGGGAGTACAATTCTCCCACTTTGCTGCTCAGCACTCAGAATTCTTGAGGTTCCCACATTGCTGCCATATGTATGCATTGCAGAAGTTCAAAGACCACATGCAGATTTGACACATTGAATTAGGAGAGATACTTGAATTTATATTTTATGTTTACTTGGACTTATGAATTCAACACTTTCAGACCTTTTATATTTTGCTCACCTATTAGCCCTACTTTATGAAACTGCACTTTTTCCATCAAAGGGCTGAGGTAAAGTTGCTTGAAAGTGGGAAACTTTTCTTACCATATCTCATCCAAAAGCACTCATGCTTTCAATTCCCAAATCTACCATAGAAACAAGAGTATTTGACGAGGTTAATAGCAAAGAGAGGGAAAGAAAATGAAAGGGCTATGAGAAGTACTGATATGTAGGATAGAAATTAGAAGTGGGTGGAAGGAGATGAAGTGATCATAAGGATAGAGAACACTGAAGATTATATGGACCAGGGGCCAACAGAGATGAAGTTGAAGCAAATTGTTAAGAGAGTTGAAGGGAAACGTAGCCTTAGATAAAATCTCTAGTCTGAAGTTAGAGGCAAATGAGAACTTTATCAGAATGATGATGCCTCCTGGGCTGGGATAACTGGGGAATGTTGTATGAGGTTGTGTTACATTCCCAGTAATTCTCACAATGCCCCTCACCAGGAACATTTGCTTCCTTAAACTCATGTGGATTCTGGGGAAAAAAAAAAAAAAAAAAAAAAAAAAAGTCAATTCAGAGTCAATTCATTGGCCTAAGTGTTCAGAAGTGCTAGGTTTCAGGAAGAAAATATGGATGTCTCTTTTCAGAAATAAAACATCCCATTACAAACAGTTCTTTCAATAAGAACTTTTCAGATTATTTAAGTAGTGCCCTAACACCAAAAATTAAGAACAGTTACCAAGGTCTACAATAGCTGGATGGATAGCACATGACCAAAGGAGTCTGCTAAGGTTCATGGAAAGAAGATACCAAACCCTCTGGCAGTCTTTCTAAAATGAAAAGGCTGTATCCCAGCATAAAACATTTCACTGCCTCACAACCATGATAATACATGTTTATGATGGATTATGATGTTCATGATGCTCATGCACTTATCACAGAGATTAGGTATGAGGAAAGCCATGGGATGGGTAACTAACATTATTCATACTACCCAGCTGCAGTATAACAGATGGGATGAACGGTAGCCTGTTGACTGTCCACACGCACTCACATACTGAATCTTCCCACAACCTCTATTACACACACTGTCTTAGAGCTTAAGGAGTTTAGATTGTAAGCTCTTCAGAAAAAAAGACTACTTTCCTTCTCTGCACAGCACTTGAAAAAATATATATTCATGTTGGCAACTGAAGGTGCTATAGAATTACAAATAAATAAATAAATAAATAAATAATAAATAAAAGGAGCTGTTCAGCTATC